CCCTCTTAATTTATAATATACATTTCAGGAATACTTCTATAATGTGTAACCACACAGTTTGGAGATTTTAAGTTGATATGAACATGTCTGCCCTATAGGAGCCATCTCTTCTGTTGGAACACAGACAAGTGTCAATCACCTCATGACATTCGGGATGGACAGGCTGGAGCCTGTGGGCGGCACAGCATGTAATTCAGTACCTTAGAATCCACTGTGAGGCTATTCAATTCCTCACTAAAGCCTCAGAAGACAACACCATGGCAAGAGACATTGAACAAAACTCTCACTGTTTGCATTTCACATATTTATGTATTATTCGAATAAAACAGTATTTTATTCCTGTAGAGTTTTATTTTACATTTCTGTTTTTAGCTCATATTCTATGTTACATGTATATAGTTTACTTCTTACACTTATTTTTATTTCATTGGTTGACATTTTCTCACACTATTTTATTTCTATTCTGTTTCTTTTTGCACTATTGGAATTGTTTTCAGAAATCAGAATCAGAAACAGCTTTATTGCCAGGTAGGTTAAGACATACGAGGAATTGTACTTGGTGTTGTGGTGCATACATTAAAATAAAACTACAAATTAAAAACACAGATAGAAAACTATTTGAAGAAATTATAATAACATTAAAAATATATATCAAAAAAGTATAGCAGTAATTGTAATATAATTAGTTTGATGTCCTATATATATGTATGTGGCAGTGATGGAGGAGCCTGGAACTACAGATTTGCATTGCAATAACTACACTGTAGCAACTGTGCGTCTGACAATAAAACCATTGAATATTTGAAACACATTAATAAATCTACACTAACAGAAACAACATCAAACCAGCACTGCAACATCTAAATAAAGACACAGGAAGAGAGACAGATTGCTGCGTGACAGAATACATTTTTCAGAGTAGAGGGGATTAAGCAGCCTTATGTCACAGCATTTATTCCCCCCTGCTGTGACCATACAGGGTTTCAGCAGAGGATTGAGGAGGTTGAGGGACACAGCGCCCCCATCTGGCTCCATGTCAAACTGCACCCATCATTGCATGTGAAGGCTGCCCTCACTTAAGGTTAATCTCCCACAGTTCAATGTCCCCTTCAAAATAAAACCCAGTCAGAAGCTCAGATGCTTAGCAGATTTGGCTCAGATCACTGCAGTATAAGACTTATGCAATGCTATGTAAAGCCAAGCAGCACTGAGGGTTAATACACAGGTCACTCACTGTGGCAGAGAATAGGAAAACCAGAACTCAGAAACCTGGTCAGTGTGTAGGATGGCTGGGGTCACTCATCCCCCCCCACCCCCCTCCCTACGAGTGGAGGTCCTGGGGTACTCACCTCACTATCAGGTTTCACAGGGGACAGGGGCCCATATTGTACAAGCTGAGAGAAGCTGAGAAACATGGGGGACGTATTGGAGTGCAGAGTCACACTGCCCCCTAGTGGCGGTGCTGCTGATACAAGCCTTTTCTGTGAAGTAGCTGTAGGCTACAACAAAACATGCTTTACGGAGGTGGGAAAAGTATTCAGATGTTTTACTTGAGTAAAGTAAAAGTAACAGTGTGTATATTCTGTTACAAGTTAAAGTCCTGCATTCAAAATGGTACTTAAGTAAAAGTACTTAAGTATTCGGATCAAAATATACTTTACCGGCACACATGTAAATATGTCTAATATGTAGGCCTATATTACCCAAATATGTATATTATGTTCATTTTAATTCATTTCTTATTTTGAAGTTACTTAACTGTATATCCTTTTAATTGTATTAATCTTTAATCTTGCGTAAATCTGTGCTGTCCTGTTTTTCTTACCCCGTTGCTTTTTAAACTACTGAATTTCCCCACGGAGATTAATTAAGGTCCATCTATCTTATCTTATCTTACTTAAACTACCAAAAAAAGTACTTAATAAGGAGATTGGCCCTGTTCCGAATAATATATATGATATGTTTTATAATTATTGATGATTAAAGTGTTATCAAAGCTGGTAAAGGTGCAGCTAGTTTGAATGACTTTGTATACTGCAGGGTAGCTTGTGAATTTACTCCAGGTGGAACTAAAGTCTGATTTAAGAATTGATTATTTCACATCATTCATCCAGATCTACAAAGTAACTAAAGGAATTAAATACATGTAGTGGAGTAAAAGTTGTTGAGATCTTCATAGTATGTTGAATACTTAAAACGAAAGTTAATTATAATTAGAATCAAGTATAATCAATTATATTCTTGTATAACCCACAATGAAAATGTTTCATACGTTATGTTTTTCTATATTTACAGTATAAACAAAGTGGTTTCTTAAGTTGAGTGTAAGGCCTATAATGGTTTATGGGTGTCACTGGTAAGGGAGAAGGCAGTTTCTTCCCTCTCCCCTTACAGCAGTACACAGGGAGGGGTGCTCCTGACTTAAGGAGAAATACATTGAGGCCCCAAAAAGGTGGTTATGTCATAGCCGAGAATAATATTTTGCAAGTCCTGCAGAGTAGGGGTCATGTCCTTTTTACACAAACATGGGAAGGTGTGTCTTATGCTATAGCCATAGAATATGTCTGGTCATGTCCTGTACATCAGAGGCCATGCCCAGTTTCCACAAATATTGGTATGGAGGAGGTGTCTTTAGGTTTTCTATCCTGTTTTTGGCAGTTGAAGTTACAATTTAAATGTAAAACTGTAAAACTGTGAATTAAAGTTTCCTATTAGAACATGATCACAGCATGATAGGTTTAGTATGATTATAATGTTGTAAAGAGAGAAGGTAAAAATCCTGTATAAGTTTGGAACTATTTTTCTTCAAATAAACTGATCCCACCTTTTGGACTGGGACAACTTAAAAGACATCTGTGCTCTCCTCTCCTGCTTCAAATGTAAGATTGCACACTGCCACACTCAGATTTAGGTAGGGCCACACCTCATTTACTGATATCAAAATCCTTCGGGATCGCTTAAACAGATTAAGAGGGTTGCCTGAATTGAAACAGCAGTTAATTGAACCTGGTTCTTCAGGAGTTAATAAAGGTGAGATCTTGCTGACGTTGGTGGATTTGAGCCAAGCAGTAAACTTACATAGACTCAATAACTTCTGTTAGATTAATTAGTAGGTCTGAGTAATTTGCCGGAATAAATTATCAGCTCCTCCCGACTCTTACAAAGCACACCATTTTACCTGAGAAAGTTAAGGAAATAGCAGTAAAAAATAACAAAAAATTGAAATACTCTGGTCAAGTTCCCTAAAAATATTACTTAAGTACAGTACTTTAGTAAATCTACTAGTTACTTTACACCTCTGACTTAATAGACATTCAAAGTGTTGAAAGTTACTCCGTTTAATTTTAAAATGCTTAGTTTTAGTGGTCTGTGTAATCGTTTTTATAAATAAAGATGGGCACGGTTCGTAAAAACATACTGCACAATATAAACAGTGTTAAAATTGCTAAAGAAGTATGTGCATTTATACGGAAGCAAAAGTTTTCGGATTGATTAAATGATTTGTATCTGTCAGTGAACATAGCAAGAGTGTTAGAGGAATGTAATCATTTTGTTTACCTTGAACATGTTAATCAGGATTTTCTAGCCTCTGGACACAGCTGGAATTCAGGTCTGAGAGAGTTGAGGGAGATTTAGATACACTTATCAGATGATACGGATCCACAGGTTACAACTTGTGTGAAACAAAACGGAGCGAAAAAATTCAAGGTTCAGGATTCAAGGTTCTTTATTTTGTCATACGAACATATCTACAGTGTAGTTATGCCGATTAAATTCTTAGGTCACAGGCTTCTCCAACAGTGCAACACAATAACACAGATAAACAGAACAATATAGTGCAAGTAATAGTAAATAATAAATACAAAAAGAAAAATAGTTTAAAAAAGTGAAATAGTGCAATAAGAGTCTGTATGCAAGTTCTTGGAATGATATATTAGATAAATAATTACTAAGTAGCAGATGAATGTTATGGATGTTGTTTCAACAGTTCAGGTGTTTAATCAGGCCGATGACGGTCGTGTCGTCAGCAAACTTCACGATGGTGTTGGAGCTGTGTGTGGCCACGCAGTCGTGTGTGAACAGCCTTGAGGGGCTCCGGTGTTGAGGATCAGCGTGGAGGATGTGATGTTTCCCACCCGCACTGCCTGGGGTCTGCCCGTCAGGAAGTTCAGGATCCAGTCACAGAGGGCGCTGTTGAGCCCGAGGTCTCTGAGCTTGATGGCCAGCTTGGAGGGCACAATGGTGTTGAATGCTGCACTGTAATCAATGAACAGCATTCTCACATGTGTTCCTCTGGTCCAGGTGTGAGAGGGCAATGTGGATGGTGAGGGCTATGGCGTAGTCTGTGGACCTGTTTGCTCTTGGACGCAAACTGCAGGGGGTCCACAGAGTCAGGGAGGGAGGAGGTGATGAAGGTTTTCACTAAGCGCTCAAAGCACTTCTTATGGTGGAGGTGAGTGCTACTGGGCGGTAGTCGTTGAGGCTGGTGATTTTTGTCTTTTTGGGGACAGGAACGATGGTGGAGTGTTTGAAGCATGTGGGGAAAGACTGCAGCAGGGACCTGTTGAAGATGTCTGTGAACACTGAACTGCACACACCCTGGGAACACGGCCAGGGAGGCCATCAGGTCCAGGAGCATTGTGTGGGTTAACCCTTTTAAAAAGGATTTACACACATCTGCCCTGTCTAAAACAAAAGGGCACGGCTCCTGATCCTTCTCTGCACCCCCAGCCTGGCTGCTCTCGAAGCGAGCAAAATAACTGTTCAGCTCATCTGGGAGAGATGTGCACGCAGATACTCCCGCAGAAGATGTGGCATTCCAATTCAGACCATTGAAACTCTAAAATTAGATTTAAAAGCAAGTTTACTGCATAAAAGAAGCAGGGTCTTCACAGTTCTGATGGAAAGTGAATGGGATTAGACATCCATACGCTTAGGGTCACTGCTAACAGATCAGAGTATCAGGAGTCACAGCCAAGAATCATCAGCTCAGACGAACACCTTTTATACACATTGAATGTTTTATTAAAAAAGAAGTTATAACAGTTTATTTTATACACAGCTATTTATGAGGTTATAAGCCTATTAATAGAGAGCATTTGTCTTTTTGACAAGCATGCCCACTTCACAATGCAAAGAAAAACAAGAGGGGGGCAAAGGGGGTGATAAAAATAGTACCAGGGATGGACTTTTCAGAACAAAGACAGAAAAAACCTTTTGACTTTTAACCCTCAAGTATCACACACTAGGTAACAAATACATAGTTTTATAAAAAACCGTAATGTTCCATGCTGTGTGTGCTGTGAATACGGGTGTGGGACTATGGAGCTTCTCAGCAGGTTTGCATTTACAATTTTGAGGTTGTGTCAATCACATGGTTATCTGGAGTCAAACTTAAGACATTTGTTATTGTAAGGACGAGAAGGGGGGGGGGGGGGAGCCAAAAGGAACAATAAAAAGCGCGGTAAACATGTTTTTTGTCAATTTAGAATTCAAGTTGCAATGAGGAGCATCATCATTCACTTGTTTAAGGACATTTTCTTTATAGCTGAAGACAACCTGAAACACAAAGGCAGTCATTCTGTCGACCTTGAATAACAGAGCAGGAAAGAGAACTATCTGAAGGTCGTCCTGTTTACCAGAGCTGAGTGTATCATCAATGTATTTCCCAGCAGATGCAAATAATGCTGAAAATCAAATGTATGCATAACACAAAAGTCTTGCTTTAAAAAAAAGACACTAATATCATTAGTCCCCTGTTGCACCATTGCATCATTATGTGCTATTTTATTACAATTCTCAACTCAGATATACTGTATTTTCAGCACTCAAGTACAATACTGCACAAATGTAAAGTAAAACAAGAAGTCCAATATGAATGGCTTAAAAGTAAAAACTAAACATCAAGTTCTCATCAGGGTGAAACCTAACTGATAACAGCGGCTCTGATGGGCAAGATTAAAAACAAAAAAGGAGTTAATGAATAAATACACACCTGTAGGCAGAGAAGGGAGAGTGGGGTATCTGCTTAGTGCGCAACACATGAAAACATTCACATATCTCCTCACTGCCTGCTGAGCATCACACAAGGGAGCGACAGTTAAAACGTCTGCATCCTGCTGGACGCTAACCCCCAGCTAACATTCCCTCCCCCCCCCCGGGCTGATGGGAGAAACTCCGTTTTTTTTTAAGAATGCCTATGTTTTGTAAAGTTCTCTGATCCACTTTTGATTTCTGTACATTCAGATCCATCAGGCTCACTACAGGTCCAACATCATCCTGGTTTGAAATCACTCTGTACAACTCTGAATGCAAAAGACAAGGACAAGCAGGCATGTCTATGGAGTTTTGCATTTAACAACTGACACTAACTAAGATCAGATGAATGTATGGCAGACTAATTAACTATCTGTAATACAGCCATATAGCAGATGTTGTTTGAAGTAGTGAAACTAGCTATCCGGTCTAAAGCACACTTCAGCAAATATTATTATGACTTCCATCTCTCCAGTATGTCCCTGGTGAAAATGCTAATCCATATACAAGATAGAACCAAACTCTATTTCAAACCGGAGCCATAGATCCCACATTAGCTCAAATGTGCCTCCACACAGGGTATTTCCAACTGATCACACCTTCCCAGGATCACGTCGCAGAAAGAGGACAATGAAAGTAATGCGAGTGTGCTTTTCAGTTACTTTTTGGAAACCGTCTGTCCTTTTGTGATGAGGCACAGGAAAAGGAGTTGATTTTACAAGCGATTCGGTGACCTTTTAAGTTAGATTCAGCCTCCAATCTCCCACGTAGGATCCGCAACAACGCAGCCAGTGATTCTTACTGCCATCTGTGAAGTGAATACATTTCAAGGTTTCTAGGTAGTCTGACTGTCAGTCAGCCTCCACAAACACTCGCTCAGTGTTTCCTGTTTAACACTGAGTTTTCATGAGGCTACAGAGAGGTGGATTATCGCTGTACAAGGTAGAGGCCGTACACAAAAAATAATAATACAGGGAATAGAAGACGAAAAACAGCAATTTCTTTCAACACTAGATGGATTTACATCTAATCCAGCCACATTGAATCAGAACAGAATAAAACCAAAGTTGGTTTTTTTCAGATAAGAAGTCCAGTCTGTACAGATGAAATTAGATCCCCTCTACGAAAATGGCTACAAGCCTAAATGTCACACATTGGGCTCTTATTTTTGGAATCTTCAAACTAATAATCAAAATTTGAATCCTGGATGGCAAACATAGAGGTCAGACCTGAATGAAGGTCATGGAGGAAACAGTGGAATGTGAGGAGGACCCATACTTCACAAACTCAAACCCCAATATAGTTTTGTTGCTTTTCATCTAAAATTAAACTGACTTAGGTGCTGGTTTTATAAATTCACCAGAATAGGTGATGATTACATTCTTTCTCTACCTGAAGAGTTGTTTCTGACCGATGATATGAACAGAAATGTGTTTTAAAAAAGGTGATTGAAAGCAGGTGGCATCACGATGAGACGTCTGCTGGTGTAACGAAAACATTTAAACTCAGAGGTTTAAAGGGTGGCTCTGTTTTAAACCAGTTCAAGACCAGTTATTACATTGTTACCGTGGTGATACAGTAACGTTGAGTTGTCACTCCCCTTGTAACGAGTCATGTGTTTTATTAATACGTTGACCTGACCTCATTTAGCAATAATTCTGCACTGCTGCAGTAGGTCAGAGAGTAACAAAGACTTCAAGTAACATGCCAATGTATTATTTTAACTAAACGAGAAACAAAGGTCTATTTCAGCTAAAAAAATTCTATTTGTATAAAAAGATATGCTCAGAAAGCATTCATGTGGGAGTTATGAGCATCTATTGGCACCAAACTTTTTTATATTTTTAAATAAGATGTGCTATGACACCTTGTGTGTGTTTGTGTGCCTCTACAACCATCTGGACCTTAGGATAATATTGCAGAGCTGTGCACCGAGGCAAGCTAGACCTTAGCAGCTCTGCAGCGGAGCAACTAACATAATGTTTGTCAGAATCATTTAGGAAAGAAAATTAGGATCCAGCTCCTCAACAAATAGACTTTTATATTTAAAAAAAAGGGAAATTTGAGTAAAGAAATAAGACGCTCGCGGGGAGATTTCCTGCCTATGCTTACATGACACACCTTAAAAATGCAGAGATGATGGGGAGAGAGTATGAAAGCGATGAAGGGAGAACAGCTACAGAACGGGAGGGGTGTCTGTCAAACACACCAAAGGCTAAATATCCATAAAAATCCTTGTTTAGTAGTAATAATAATAATAATAAAAAAATTAACTTGTTTAAATGTGAATATTATAAGTCTGCTTTCTCATGGTTAGGAAATCAAATATAGTCTCTGTGGGGGTTAAAGGTGGGGGGGGGCCTCCCATCACTACAACTCCATGTCCTGGGCCTCGTCCTCTGAGAAGTCAGACATGGAGCTTTCAGATGAAGAGTCGCCGGCCCCCTCCTCCTGCTCCTTCAGAGCCTCCTCTGTTGCATATTTCTGGATGTACTCTGTGGAGGAAGAGAAAGAGAGAGTACGGTCAGACTGGGAAAAACTTATAATGATCAGAATGACTTTAGGTTATTCCTCAGAGCGGAGCAGGAACACATTCCTCCTCCTGCTATGACTCTGGAGAACAAATCAGCTCTGAGAACTCACTGCTCCATAGCTTCTCTTTTGTTAACTGGACTTATAATTGTACATTTATATTTAATTTAATATGCCATTCCTTGCACAGGGTTAGGGTTAGTAATGTAAATAATAAACTACTTTTCAATTGTGTTAGCTGTACTTTGGCCCTTCATAGTGTTTATTTGTCGGATAGTCTACAGATTTCTATCTTTCACAGTTAACTTTTGACTTTTTAGTTCCGTTTTATTTTCTATTCTGAGATGTTTATATTTCATGTTTGTTTATGCTCTACTCTTTTTATTTTCACATTTTAACATGCTGATAATCCGTTTTTTTTGCAGATGTGCAGTAATGATATGAATGTTGAACCTTTGATTTTCTGCTTGTAGTCCTCAGGCCGGTGGAGGTACATGGCAGCTGCGTCTCCGTTCAGAGGGTCGATGGGGTTGGGGTAGGCCAGCAGCTGAGGCAGGAACGACTCAAAGATGTTGGTCAAATCTGGAGAAGAGGGCAAACGTTTACCACTTTAACAACTGGAAGAAGAAGTGATCACATAATTACATAATCTGGTGATTTAACGGCAGTTATTGTCAGATTTGAATATTTCTCTGAAGGAACCTGATGGAGAAAAGCTCACACAGTATACTGCCAATTACATGTCTGTGTATGTACGTTGTTATTGCCACAGGAAAAATCAACACACAGATATAGCATAAAGTGTTAACCTTACATGCTCTCTCAGACTGGAGCCAAGCTGATCTGTGTCACTAGCCTCCTGCTAGCAGGCCTCAGCTTTCTCTCAGAGCCGAGGCCTAGTGGAAACACATGCAGTTCTGCTCTCATCTCCTAGGTGTCACTGATGGGACCATTTGAGTGGGAAAACAAACACTTATCTACCCCTCAATTGTCAAGTGTTCTCATGTTTGAGTGAAGTAATCAGCTGCTTTTGTTGCCTCTTGCTTTGTAAAGCGTTGTTACAGACAATGCTTGGTTGATTGGACATACTTTGAAAATAGGACAATCAGATTTTCTATTTTGAAACACCAAGCAAAACAAAATCAGCAGCATTGTATGTTTACAAATGGGATTCTTACAGGGGTTTGACTTTATTTTAGAGCAGAAAAATAAACAGGCCAAGTTTACTCACATGGCATACACGGTTTTCCCTTTTATATCAAAACACTGGAATCAGAGTTCATTCTGAATCAATTTTCTTACATTTTATTTATGAGGAAGGAGGCTGAAACATCTCCTCGGGTTATAACTCTAACGCTGTTTATATTACTCAACAGCTGTTGTTAATGGGGAAATAGGGAGAAGGGCAACATGGAGAGACCGAGTGAGAGTGAGAGCAGCAGAGTGACACACAGAGATGATGTGTGATGTCCCTGCCAGCTGACGCTCCGTGAATCAGTCCCGTCGGAGGTGAATGTTTCCTGACCTTGCTGAGTGAGGGTATTACCTCCTCAGTGATCACTTCTCCCCTCACTAAGTAGATTACAGCCAATTGTGCTCCACTCCCTAATGTGGTCAATGGAGGGGCCGACGTCACCTTTTGGTGCCGAGGGCACAGTGTCAAGTTCTCTGCACGTCAACACACAGACCCCAGTGGGGAAACTCAATATGGACACATAAGCGGTTTGGACACTCACCATAGAGGGCCGTCCATGTCTGATTGATGACATCTAAGCACACTGTCCCTGACCTGGTAACCAAGGAGATAACAGAGTTAGAGGTGTGAGAGGAAGAGCCAACATGTGTTTGATACAGCGAAGGGGCTGGATCCCAAGAGAAGACCTCTCTCCTACCAAGAACAGTTCAACAGGGCTGTTCCTTCTGTGGCCTTTGTTTGCCTCAAAGTGGAGAACAAAAGGTGATATATATGCAAGTATGTCTATGTAAAAAGTACCAGCTACATCTTATATTGTCTCTTTTTCAAAAATATACTGCCATCGTTTTTTACTTTTTATTATCAATAACATGCGTCTACTTTGTTATATAATATTTTTTTAATATGCAAGTCTATTCTCTTTACTTTATCTGCACTATACTTCTGCTGTTTTTATACTGTAAATGTCCCCATTGCGGGACAAATAAAGGAATTGTGATTCTGATTGTGCATTTTGTGTGGCAGTCAAGTGCATCAGGAGATTCTTGTCAAGCTATGACACATCATATGAACAGGTCGGACGTAACAAGTTGTGAGGATCATTCTCTGGAAATGTAGATAATTGAATAGACCAATAGGTTTGAATAATGGAACCCTGACTCTTGAAGTTAAATGGATCTATTTACATTTGACCTTACACACTATTTAACTGTGTCCGTTGTACTGTAAAACTGGTTGACATGTAACTTGCCTCAGTGTATACCTGGTGTTTACCATTCTGTTTGGTTTTGGCAGACCAGACTGTCCTATTAGTGGAGGAGTCCCAGGTTTAGCCTGTCCACCCAGTCCTCCCAGAGACCAACCTTCACACACCCTGGGTGTACGCTTGCTTGGTAGCACATGTCTTCCGAGTCACTTGCTTCAGAAGCGAGGCAAGAATCCTTCCTGGCATTCGGAAAACGAACAGGTGGAACAGGCGAGCAAGTGTGCAGAGTGCGTCATATGAGAGGCCTCGCCTTACATTTTCCGCCATAGATTTTGGGAAATTGGTCCGTGCGCAAAGCATTGTGGGGATTT